ACGACAGGAGCGCACCCCGCCGCAGGGATTCGAACCGCCGACCTTTCGATCGGCAAGTCCTAGGCGCTGAGGCTTTAACCCACAGCGCCACCTGTGTCCCAAGCCGCACCATACTTGGCAACAAAGGAAATGCATCCACTGCAACTCTGCACAATTTCACTGGGTGGTATTCAACACTTGTCCTACTCAAAGTAGGAGACCCACCGAAGTTAACAGCCATGACTAACAAAGGTTGGTTTATTTCAGTTGGTCTACCCTGAGTAGGACCTAGCTGAATAAAACTCATAGACCTTGCCTTGCCCCTTCGCAGCAGCCTCTAGTAGGAGCAATTAATTCTGCTATATCACTCCGCTGGGTGCAACTGGAGCATGTAAATAGTATAGATAGACATGGCAGAATTACTCGCCCCCTAGGAGGTCAACAGTTACATCTCTGCCTGAGTAGCAAAACCAGGTTTGCAGACTGGCACCGGGGTCTTGCACAGAAATCTAGTGGGCGACCTCCTTTGAGAAGTAAGAGACCTCCTCTTACTTTTGCACATTTTCTCAACATAAAATCTGTTCAGATGAAATGGAGGCGGGAAAAGGTGTGCCCTACTTATCAGAAGATAACTTGGGGAAACACCGGATTAAGGGCAGAAAGGGCTCGGGCTTTTGCTGCATGAATGCCCAGAAAACCTTGGGAGGTTCCCCTACCCACCGAATAAGCACACAAGCAACTCTCATTCTTGCCACCCAAGCAAGATAGTCCAGAGTAATTCAGGCACTAAATTCTTCCTAGTTAGCCGCTCACCTCACCTCTCGCTCGGGTGAGTGCCTGATTGGAAACAACCTGCACTGAAACTGCCCCAGGCAAAATCCACCTGCTCAGAATGGCCGCTAGCAACACACCCTCCCAACCAACAAGCCATAAAAAGAGAATCTGGACATTCTCCCGCTCCCCACAGAAGCCACCACTTCAAAAACCCTTTACACACAGAAGACTTTCCTCTAATGTGGAGAAGAACTGTCCAGAGGGCTGTAATAAATGCTCTTTCACATGTGAATGTGTCCCTCAGCCCTAATGCTTCAAAATAATCCTCCTAGTTCCTGAAGCAAGCACCTTCTGTCCTGATAGCTGTTGTATTTCTTAATCAGCCTAAGAAACCCAAATGCTTCGGATTTATTTGGCAAAGCTCAGAAGGCCATGTACTCCCAACGCCTTCAAAATCCGCATTGTAACTAGACATTTCTTCACCAGAGGCCAGACTTTTAAGAATCCACACTCTGCCCCCACCCATTCAGTTTTCAGATAAAACGGTCAATTGTGATTCTCCAGTTGTAGAACGCTGCACTTTTTAGCTCTGCCCCACATCTGGGTCTCCAGACATTTTGGAAACCGTCCTGTTTCAGCCAGCATGGAGCCAGGGTGGGTGGGCTGGGGTGACATGGGCATGGTACCCAACTCCTGCCTGCTTACACAGTCCATCGGAAGCACGAAAGAGTTTCCTTCCCTCAGCGCCTTGCTGTGCCTCCCCCTGAGAGAGCTGGCCCCCAGGTATTCAGGAGCCGAGAAAGCCAATTTACTTTCTGGCATTTCTACCCATCCTGTGCTCTGAGGAGCTCTCGGTTGTGTGCAGAGTTCTCCCCCTATCCCACTGTATCCTCACAACCACCATGTGAGGTAGGTTAGGCTGAGAGAAGGTGATTGAGCCAAGGTCACCCCATGAACTTCCTGGCTGAGTGGGGATTTCAACCCTGGTCTCTCAGTCCCTAGTCTGACACTCTTAGCTGCTACTCCATACTTGCTCTTTAGTCCCTTTATACACCTAGCCTGGCACTATCAACTCTAGTCTCTTTCCAAGGTCTCGGGCAAATAGAAGAAGGAGGAGGAGGAGGAGTTTGGGTTTGATATCCCGCTTTATCACTACCCGAAGGAGTCTCAAAGCGGCTAACAATCTCCTTTCCCTTCCTCTCCTACGACAAACACTCTGTGAGGTGAGTGAGGCTGAGAGACTTCCGAGAAGTGTGACAAGCCCAAGGTCACCCAGCAGCTGCATGTGGAGGAGCGGGGAAGCAAACTCAGTTCATCAGATTATGAGTCCACCGCTCTTAACCACTACACCACACTGGTATAGAGGTTTTTCTACTTGATCTGTTTAACTGGAGACACCAGGGACTGATGCCAGGAACCATCTGCATGCAGCATATGTGCTCTACCAATGCTGTCCTACTTTAACCCCAATTCCTTCCATAACTTTTTTTTCCAAAAAAAGAAGGCTAAAAGTATTTTTGTTCTCTTGTTTGTAGGATATTTGACACCTCCTTTGTCCAATTAGCTGGTCTCTCAGGATGATTATCTCGAGGGAAAATATGATGTGCTGACACAACTCATCGGATCTTCCCTATCTGCATGGTATCAATAGATTTCCTTTTAACATTGGTCAGCTAGCCTCTAAAAGATTGACAGGGTAAATAGCTGGATTTGTGCTGCTGGTGTAGTCTACTTATCTGCCCTTCTGCTGTCCTCATGGAGAGTACTCCTAGACAGAAAGACAGCAGGCTTCATTCCACACACATATTCAAAAACACACATTGAGGAGATTCCCTATGCTTCTTCGCGTCTGCTGCAACACCCAAGCAGACTCTTGGACATCTGGTGTGCTGACATCTCATTTCAAAAGCCAGTTCCTCTCCAAAGTTAAAAAGCGGTGCTACTCAATATCTCCATATGGATCTAGGCTTTTATTTATTAGAAAATTTATATCCTGCCTTTTTGAGCCAAAGCTACACAATGGTTAACAATAAGAACCCAAATAAATATAATTTGAGGGGAGACAATGTTTTTTTTTTTAAAAAAATAATCGATCAATCAAGTTAGCAGCAATAAACAATGACCAAAAGCTAGCAGAAGGCGGGAGATTCTCTTCCAACTTTGAGGGCAGCCTGGGATGGCACAGCCTAGATCAATAACAGCAGCAAAAATTAACAGAGATCAGGGCAAGTGTGAATATCCCTTGGGAGGGGCTTCCAGAGTTTGGATTCCACCACCAAGGAGGTCGTACCCCAAGTAACTCTGCCCTCAATTTACTTCAAATGACAAAAGGGTTCATGAAGAACAGAGTCTCCTAGGAAGTTATTGTAACGTGGGTAGGTTCACAATGAGCTGGGAGGGAGGTAGAGGAGGACCTTCCACATTATATATATATATATTTATGCCATCCTCGTGATCTTAGAAAAATTACATGAGCAGATTCAGCCCAAAGCCTCCAACTGGCCCATGCCACAAGGAAAAGAGAAAAACAGCCTGCTTGTTGAGCATCAAATATATTATCTGTACATCACATAAAGGGTGGGGACATTATTTGCTTTCTCAGCTGCTAGGATCAGTAACAGCCTGGTTCTCATGGATGCAATTTGCTGCGAGTGGGGTAAAACTGTAACTCTGGCATGTGACACGTTCGGTTTTATGGCTGGTAATCCAACTGCACTGGAAGCAACTTTATGGTTATGGCCTATGGCCTTAAACAGCTACTCCCACCCTATCCCCCTCCCCCCCCCCCATTCTGGGCCAACTCCTTTGGCACAGGGCTCACTATCGTCTCCTTGGCACAAGTCAAGGTGCTGCTCTAACCTATAAACAGCCTTAATGCACAGAAGCCTCAGAGAAATCCTCTCCCTTAATTCCACAGGCTTTCTCCTTTGCTCCACTGCAAGTCGCAGAATCAAGCAAGACGGATTTATTCACTGCGCCACCCATGCCACCAAAGAGGGAAGTTACCATATTTTTAGCCCGCGACCCTCTCCTGGCTGGAGAGGTGATGTGCGGCTATGGCAGGAGCCTCTTTAGCCACGCGCCACCTCTCCAGCTGGGAAAGCGCGTGTGGGGCTAAAGAAGCCATAGCCCCGCGACCCTCTCCCAGCTGGAGAGGTGACGCGCGACTATGGCAGCAGCCTCTCCGCTGCCCGCCTTTCTGCTGCTCCCCGACCTGCTCTTTGGGGCTGGTGGTGGGCTTCCCCCCGCCAGCCCCAAAGAGCAGGTCGAAAGGAACCTGAAGCCTGGAGAGCGAGAGGGGTCGGTGCACACCGACTCCTCTCACTCTCCAGGCTTCCAAGGTAGCTGCCTGAAGGCACCTTGTTTTAGAGGGGGGAAACAAAAGGGGGAAAATTCTCCCCCTCTCTGCGCGCCTCCTGCCACTTCGCTGAAGGGGCGCTGGGCAGAGAGGGGGAGAATTTTTTTTTCTTGTTCTCCCACCTCTAAAACAAGGTGCGTCCTATTGTCCGGTGCGCCCTATAGAGCGAAAAATACGGTATTGGTGGCTCCCTTCTCAAGCACTCTGAGGGTGTTTTAAGGCTTTTCCCATTTGGGCTGGCATTCAAGAGCTTGTGTGAAGCAGCCCAAATGGCAGTGGAGACAAGCTCTGGATGCGTAGATTTCGCCATGCTCATTCCCCAGCCGCTCCGGTAAATTGAGCTCACATAAGCAGCCCTTGGAAAGATCCCCACCCAAAGTCCTTTTGCCAATCAATCTGGGCAAAGTAGATTAATACTGGACTCAATAAGAGACACCAGCTTCATCTGCGCCAATAATAAGAAGCGAAGAGACCAGATCCTGCACATGCTGCCATGTGACCAGCTTGCCACACAGTCAGAAAAGCCCACGCAGGCAAGGCTTTTGCCATGGGCACTATGGGTTGTAGCCAATGCTAGCCTGGCTCAGAGCAGACCCATTGAAATTAAGACATGGCTTAACTTAGGTCCATGAAGAGTAACGGGTCTACTCTTAAGTTGGCTACAACCCTCTGTGCTCAAACATTCATGAGAGCAGGCCCTTTTGGGGGCTTCCATTTCTTTCTCTAAGGAGAATAAATAGTGTAAAATGTACACAACAGACCATTACCCACCCGGGACCTGCAAGCAGGTGTGTAACGTGATCAAAGGCCGGTTGCCTTTTTGCTCCCACCCTCTTGGCTGGATGTGCACCCAAAGCAAGCCCTCTCTCTGTCCCTCGCTGGCACTCACCATCTGTCGGAAGGCCTTGGAGTCCTTCGTCCGGGGGAAGGAGCGCTCAGGCACCCAGCGAGGCACCAGTCCTTCGGTAGAATTGGCCTGAGCCCTCTGCAGCTTGGCTAAGATGGCCTTCTCCTCTTTCTGTCGGAGAGAAAAACAGGCCATGGAGGTGCAAACATAGAAGCTGGGGGGGGGCCATGGGGAGAGGGGGGAGGCCCTTTCCAATTCCCTCCCCTGGAATAAGGCTGCTCCTCTTGGCCGGCCAGAGTTGCAGCTTCCACTGCTCCAGCTTTGGATAGCAGAATGCTCACCTTCCCTGTGAACCAGACCTACAGGGCATAAGCAGCGCCCTGCTGGCTGGCAGGTAGGTAGGTTTTCTAACTCCCCACACCCTAGAGAAGGGGGGGAGGCAACTTTTTTGGCCCACGGGACACATATCAAATTTTGAGAGTGTGCTGGGAGTGCCAGTCACAAAATTGCTACCACTGGGGTGGCACTGCATAACACACAATGGCTGCCGTGGGGAAAGTGGCATAACACAAATTTAGAGACTACCACCCCCAACCCCTCAGACTTACTAATGGGAGGGAGGTATGTCCTGCTGTGATTCTGAGGGATCACACAGTATTGGTTCTACTTACACACACAAACATTTGCAGTCTAAAAGCAACAGGGAACCTATCTCAGTACCAGGAAACATATACCTCAGAAGGTATATTCACATTTTGCTCCATAACGTTTTTTCTAGGAGGGCTAGAGGCTTCCCTTTAAAAAGACAGATAAAACAGGGGCACCTGCCCAAGAGCCATGGAGGGAAAGCCTTTTGTGACCCCTGCACAAGAGCAAATTACTGTGTTAATCTTCCCCAGTCCCCAGCCCCTCCAGGACTCACTCGTTTCTGGCTGCAGCCCACGATGAAGAAGGTGTCGATGTTGTGCTCCTTAAGGTAGGCATTGCGCTCGCCCCCGTGCCCTGGCTCCACTTCGTAGTCCTCATTCAGGTACTGCAGCGTAGCTCGCGTAATGTGGATCCGCCTAGCACAGAACTTTTGTCACTCAGCCAAGTCATCTGGTGGAGCCCCCCCTCTCCCACTCCCTCTGAGCCACACCTACAACTGCCAATTAATATGCACAAGAGGAAGAAGAAGACACCATTCAACATGTAAGTGGTTTGGTCTCTGACCACAAAGCTGGAGAGTAAGAGGCTAGAATCACTGAACCATAGAACTGCAGAGTTGGAAGGGACCCCAAGGGTCATCTAGTCCAACCCCTTGCAATGCAGGAATCTCAACTAGATCATATATGATAGATGGCCATTCAACCTCTGCTTTAAAACCTCCAATGAAGGAGAATCTCCCACCTCTCATGGGAGGTTCGATGGGTAATTGAACAGAAAGGGCCAGTAGGTGGGTAGTAAAATTAGAAGAGGTAGCAATAGGATTGCAGGGAAGATAAAAGTGGACTAAGCGGAATATCAGGGAAAAGCCTCAAAGGTGTGTCTTCAGGAACTAAGGTGGGAACAGGGAACAGCATGGCTGAAAGCCACCGAGACAGGACTGGGGGAGGCAATGACAGGTGGCTTTTCATGGGTTAAGAAGTGGAGATGAGAAGGGAAGAGTGTTGAATGAAGGGACTAGAAGTGTGAAGAGGCTGCAGGTGGCAACTGGGAAAAGCCATTGGAGAAGCTTCAAGGGAAGAGATGGAAGTCTTCCCAGTCTTTGGTCACCTTCACCACACCTGGCCCATGCAGTAGTGGAGAAACTCCAGCCCACATGCCCTCATTTGTGGCCTGCAAGGCCACTTCAAGCAGTGGGGACAGGGCTTTGCAAGAGTGCCAAGGATAAGCCGATGGCAGTGATTTTGCCTGCAAGGATTGACTCCAAACCAGGAGGGCCAAATTGGGTCACTTGGTATCAGGTGCTTGTCAGGGGTGGTCCACCCCACCCACCTGTCAAGCTTGGCCTGCAAGCTTAGATCCAGTTCCCCACCATTGGGTCAAGACCATGACCACCAAAACTAGAGAGCCTGGTTTTGCTCATGCCACCAGCAAGCTGAAATCCTGGCCAAACCAAGCTGCTTGTTTATGCAAAACTATGGGGCCTCTCCTGGCACAGAGGTGGGCAGAGCCATGTGGAGGTGGCTGAGGTGGCCAGACAACGTTGCCCCAGCAAAAATGCATCTTTGTGGCAGCGGGACAATGGCTGCTGTTTAAAAATAAACCCTTGCCTCATTTTTTGGATAACAGCAACCCCCACTTCCAAGTATCAAGGATAGGGCTGGGACAGGGAAGGTGGCGCCTATTGGACAGTGCTTGTGACATCCGCCAAGGGGGAGCTCACAAATTCTCCTCCAGCCTACCCACAAATACAGTGGTACCTCGCAAGACGAATGCCTCGCAAGACAAAAAACTCACTAGACGAAAGGGTTTTTTATTTTTTGAGCTGCTTCGCAAGACGATTTTCCCTATGGGCTTGCTTCGCAAGACGGAAACGTCTTGCAAGTTTGTTTCCTTTTTCTTAACACCGTTAATACAGTTGCGACTTGACTTCGAGGAGCAACTCATAGCACGCGGTGTGGTAGCCTTTTTTGAGGTTTTTGAAGACTGGTGATTTTTGAAGCTTTTCCAAAACTTTCCCGACACCGTGCTTCGCAAGACGAAAAAAATCGCAAGAGGACAAAACTCGCGGAACGAATTAATTTCGTCTTGCGAGGCACCACTGTACATGTACAAGCTGTTCACCTCCACATGATCTGTCTCAGGCAACAGACACAGCCCTACAGTTCCAGCTATCAACTCATTCCTCTTTATGGAGCCACCTCTTAGTAATTCCACCAACCCAACTTTCCCCTCCTTTTACTCCAAAGAAAGAGACTTTGTGGCTCTCCAGTCACAAGTTCCAGGACTCCCTACTGCTATCATGCCTGACCACTGGCCATCACTGCCCCTGCCTTTCTTCAGGCCTATGGGGACTGGACTTACCCTGCTTTGCCACCAGCCTCCATGTGGTTGGCCAGGGTGACATCATTGGACCAGACGTCAAACTGCCACTTGCGTAGCCCCAGCACTCCGCAATGTACACGCCCACTGTGGATCCCGACACGCATGTTCACATTCACCCCCGTCACCTCACGCACCAGCCTGAAAAGCAGGAGGAAAGGAAGTGTCAAAGCACCCCTCCCCCTCTTCATATGCACCCATGAATTCACTCGCGTGAAGCAAGAAACGCAGTACGTGTCATGCTTACAGGGGAAGACCGATTATAATACCATCAACAAAGTGTCATATTCATGCAGAGTACAAGAAAACAGGCCACTGCCCTTAAGGGTGACGACTGATGTTAAAATGGGCAATGAAACTTCCTGCAAGCAAGTTGCCAGGGTGGGGATGGAGGTACGAGAACGAAATAATCTAAGATCAATAGACAAGCTTTGGCTATACAATATTATTATCATTAATAATAATAATAATAATAATAATAATAATTTGTACCCTGCCTATCTGGCTGGGTTTCCCCAGCCACTCTGGGCGGCTTCCAACAAAGATTAAAAATACATTAAAATGTCACACATTAAAAACTTCCCTAAACAGGGCTGCCTTCAGATGTCTTCTAAATGTCAGGTAGTTGTTGTTCTCTTTGACATCTGGTGGGAGGGTGTTCCACAGGGCGTGTGCCACTACCGAGAAGACCCTCTGCCTGGCTCCCTGTAACTTGGCTTCTCGCAGTGAGGGAACCACCAGAAGGCCCTAGGTGCTGGACCTCAGTGTCTGGACAGAACGATCGGGGTGGAGACGGTCCTTCAGGTCTACTGGGCTGAGGCCGTTTAGGGCTTTAAAGGTAGGCACCAAGACTTTGATGTATGGAATATATGGCATATGGAGCCTCAAGCACCTGTAGATTAATTTGTCACCATATCCATACCCAAAGCACATCTTTAGACCCTTTTATCAGTGGTTTTGTGTTGGTCAAGTTAAGATTTACCTGTGAAAGAAGACTTTGTATGCTTCTTTTTATTTTCTGTGTTTTTGTTCAGATTAGTTTTGTGGGGGGGGGTAATGTGTCTACACATACATATAGCAACTACTTGGGACTGGAGTGAGCCCTCACAGAAGTGGAACACCATGATAAACCACTGGGTTGTATTCAATGATGCAATTCTGCTTGTGCAACAGACTTCCTGCTCCAGAGGGTTGAGGGACCAAAAAGCATCTTGCTGCTTTGACACCAGCTGCCGCTTTTGGATGGTGCAGTGTGGGGCACAGAATACAGCCACCCGTGACTTCAGATGCAAGGACAAAGCTGGTGGCATTGCTGGCTTTTATCACGCACCTCTTCACCTCACAGATGCTTCTGTCTTACAAAAAATGGGCCTATAGATAAAGCATTTCGATTCCCTGGAAGGGGCTCCAGTTTCACAGCTGTCCATCGATAACCCCATGGGGTTCTCCGTTCCCATTTCCTTCAGTGGCACTGCATAAGCGCACAGGGCTTGGCACAGAGAACTGACACACTGAGAGGACTTTGGCTTTTATGGGGGGTGGGGGTGTTGCAAAAAGGAAGTTTCTAGACCAGTGTTTCCCAACCTTGGGCCTCCAGCTGTTTTTGAACTACAATTCCCATCATCCCTGACCACTGGTCTTGCTAGCTAGGGATGATGGGAGTTGTAGTCCAAAAACAGCTGGAGGCCCAAGGTTGGGAAAGACCATATGGCTGTAAAGATAATCCTGACATTACATAGGCAATGCCTGGTGAAGTATGAAGATTCTGAGGACGAGGAGGAGGGGTGCTGAGGAATGGCCAGGAAGCAAAGGCCGGGCAAGGCACCTCCCTCCCTACTGCCAGCCAAAGCAACACTAAGAACATTATGGGAGAACAACAGACATTTCCCCAACATGTATGATTTATTCAGTTCCACAATTTTGCATTTCAAGGAACTGAGATTAGATATTTCTGCTTCATAGCCCTGGTGATGCTATCTCATATAAGCTATTATCAAGCCAGGATCCAACTTGCTGCAAGTGTGAAAGAGATACTAAGTTTTTAAAACCATTCAGTGATCTGTATAAATGGAGAAGTAACAAATGTAGCTTTCTGTATTGTGACCTGCGATAAAGAAGGATGTTGCCACCTATATGTTGTGCGTCAAGCATATGCGCAAACTGCCACAGTCATGGCTGGCGTATCTCACACATTGTAAGCTGATTCAGATATCCTGATAAAACACGGCTTATCATGATGGGAACAGGCTGCACCTGTGAGGGTCACACAGTCTCCATTCCTCCTCCAGAGTGGCCATGAGGGGGTGACTGGAAGATTTTGCAAGCTTGTTATTAACAGGCTTGACATTCCATCCAAAAGTTATTAACAAGCTTGGCATTCCATCCAAACTTGACAATTCTTTTTCACCAGAGTTTATCTGAAATAAGCTGTGGGTTAAACCACAGAGCCTAGGGCTTGCCGATCAGAAGGTCGGCGGTTCGAATCCCCGCGACGGGATGAGCTCCCGTTGCTCAGTCCCTGCTCCTGCCAACCTAGCAGTTCGAAAGCACATCAAAGTGCAAGTAGATAAATAGGTAGCGCTCCGGCGGGAAGGTAAACGGCATTTCCGTGCGCTGCTCTGGTTCGCCAGAAGCGGCTTAGTCATGCTGGCCACATGACCCGGAAGCTGTACGCCGGCTCCCTCGGCCAATAAAGCGAGATGAGCGCCACAACCCCAGAGTCGGTCACGACTGGACCTAATGGTCAGGGGTCCCTTTACCTTTTTTAAACCATGGGTTATGAAGTGGGCTTACTTCAGACAAACCAGAGTTTATGAAATGGATATACTGATAAATTGTCATTAATCTGAATATTCAAGTCCCCTCATCCAGTCCACGCTAGAGGTGGGGAGAGCACAAACACCCTAGGCTAGCTGGTGCTTGTTCCCATCACGACAAACCATGGTTTACCGTACATCCAAACTAGCCCATTGTGCAATACGAAACAGCAAACACACACACAATTTTGTGGTATCCTAGCCAATGAAAGCTTATGCCGTAGAAAATGTATTAGTCTTTAAAAAGTGCCCCAAAGATCGCTGTGACAGGCTAAAAAGGTTACCTTTCTGGAAACTGTCACAAGGAACATGTTACATGCATATGGCGAGGCACTGACCATCCCAAGGGACGCATGCAGCCCTCACAAACCAAACTGCTTCCCCCTCTCACACTCACGAAATGGCCTCAATCATGTCAACGCCCATCTCCACGCAGCAATGGGCATGGTCCGCCCGCGGTTCTGGAAGTCCAGAGACACAGTAGTAGCAGTCCCCCAGGATCTTGATGCGGAGGCAATGATTCTCCTGCCAAAGGGAGGAGGAGGAGGAAGTCAGAAATACCACCACCCCAAACTCCAACATGCCCCTTCCAAGCACATCTCACCTCAGTTCATTTTGAATTTGAATTTTTAATTGGAATTTTATTTACAACCTAACACAAACCCCCAATACACAAATCCACCCTCATTAAACGTGAACATAACATACAGTGAGCATAACATTGTGGATATTTAAGTTATAATTAGAAAAATCTTAATAATTATTCATAAAGGAAACAGTTTATAAGAAGTAAATAAGGAGGCCAGATACAGGATAAAGGAAGTCTTTTATTTGGTTGTTTGTATTGTTGTATGTTATGATCTCACCTCAGTTCAATACCTCTGCCCCTGCGCTACAAAAAGACCCTCCAGCAGCCAAAAACTGTACTTCTATAGGGGAAGTAAACTTATAAGAATAAACAGAGTGCTGTGGGATGTGCCTTAAAGGGTCTTGCTTTGTCCACAAACATAGGGAAGGAGGTGGTACCAGAGCTGAACATTTATGGGGATTTCTTAACACGGCAACTGTGTTTGCTGCAGGCACACCTGTAATAAGCACAAAGCTCAAGGGAGGTGTGCACGCTTAAAACATGCAGACATTTGCAAGAACCCCGACTGGGCCATATTCCTCCAATGAGCACAGGCAGACCATCATTCCCACACAGGTCAGCTGTTCCACTGGCCGATCCTGCGAGACACACTTACCGCAGCCAGCTTGTCAAAACGGGCAAACAGCTCGTTCAGTGTCATGACCAGTTCCTGCGCTGTGCACTGGGACGCCAGGCTAGTGAAACCCTCAATGTCAGCAAACAGAATGCTGTTGGGGTGAGAAGAGACAGGAAATGAGCATAGGAACTTGCAAGGAGCTAACAGCCTGGGGGGTCTCTGTCTTATCTGGCTTAATAAACCCAGCCAACATTTTCTCTCCTCGAGCACCCAGCGACCCACCCGCTCACGTCTTGTCAAAAAGCAAGTGCCCTGCAGTTTAAGTTTTCCATGTTTACAGTAGAACGGCCTTTGCTTCACTGACGTCCTTGCCACTCCTAGGCCTCGGTCACTCCCAGGCATGGGTGCACACATGCAAACACCCCCCCCATATCCCAATAGCTTGGTACCTGACATTGTCATGTTTCTGGATGTAGATCTTGTGGAACATCATGTCCTCCTTCTTTGTGTTGATGTCCTCCTTCATCTCCATGGCAACATGCTGGGGCAGCACTGAAAGCAAGAGCCGTTCCTGCCCCCCACCCCAGAGAGAAAGCCACATAAATACTCCCCTCAGAGCAAGAATGTTGACACAACACACCGAAGTTAAAGGCACCAGTCTCAGCCTAGTCACAGATAATCCTCCCTTCTCTTCCAACCTTAACATTCCTTCTGTCCCAATTCACAATCTCCCCAACATTGCCAGACTCTCAAAATTCTGGCATCTTCTCGTCCCCAAGCAGGCTAATGCCAGCCACACAAGATCAGGAACTGACTGGCCAAGCTGGCCCTTTAACTGGCAGTCCTGCCCACCACAACTCCCGCTCAAGGCTGCAGCCCAACCCTGGCCCCACAATGGCTCCTCACCTGCTGGCGGTTTTCACGTTGCAGGTGTAGCCGTGCCTGAATGTAGCCCCGGGTCTCTTGGAAGGCCTGGCGCTGCGACACCTCAGCCGGGTAGTGGGTGCAGATGCCAATGACGTTGGTACACAGGAATATCAAAATGTTGGCTCCAAGCTGCAAGCAAGAGAAGGACCCAAGTGAAACACATACTGGAGCAGGGAAAGAAGTTACCTGCTTCAAGTAGTTTTCTTTCCCAGCAAGCTTTCAGCAGGAAACCTAGACCTACTAAAAAACCCATTCATCTTCAACTCCAGTTCCTGGCATTTGTGAGGTGGACCACCTTCCCTCCACCTGAGGTGCCATTACCCTCTGCTCCCTTCCCTAAAGAATGAATTGGGAGCTTTGTGCAAGCCAAGGAGACCCTCTTGGCCCATAATGGAGTCTCATCCTCCATTGCTGCCAGGATGCAAAAGGGGTCCCAATACTGTGCCTTTGGGAGACAGAGGGTGGGAAGAAAAACAAGCAAAACACAGTTCCCTAAGGTTTAAGGCAGGGCTAGGGAACCGAAGCTGACCACTGGGCCAAACTCTTACACCCCTCACAGTCAGTGCTTGTGCAGCACTTTGAAATGAGCTTTTGGATATTAGAGCATTGGCTGACTGTCTGTTCCTAGAAGCCCATTTTAGAGCACCATTTTGTCCAGCGCTTTGCAGGCCCTGTTGATTAGCTGACCAGCAATACCTGCTAATCCCCTTTTGGCAGAGCCAGGTGTTCACCTGCCTCACACCTGACAGGTGGCGGCTGCTGGGGGAGGTAATAGGCAGCAGCAACAGCCCCTTGGCCTTTCCACTCTGTTGCAGGAGCGCTGTGGGGGCCGCATAGCCTGGCCTGCCTAAGCTGAGCCTGTTCTTCTGTTGCCATAATTGAAGGAAGATTAATCTAGCAGCCTGCTTGGTTTCTGTTATGTGCAACAGGGAGGCACGGTTCTGTTTTTTGCCTCAGGCAATGACACATCTTGGGCCTGCCCTGCCTCCAGGACTCACCTGCCGCTGAGCTAAGGTGCTGCAGAGAACTGGGATGGTGCCGTGGATAAAAGGGTGAGCTGCAGGCCAGGAAGTTGCCAGCTGAAATCTCACTTCAGCTCTTTAACTTGATATCATTTAATTAATTAATGTTTTCTAGGTACTGCACAAATATTAAGAAAACACCCTAGCCTCTCCCCACCAGCTTACAGTCCAGCTGACATGATGGAGAAAGGGATTGGGAGGGAATGGGCAAACAAGCTGACAGAGGCACAGATTTATTCAGAAAAGTTGAGGGCATGGTCCATGGGTACAAGATGCAGCTGCCATGTTGAAGCCAAGCAAGCCTGGACAGGACCTGGTTGGGAGTGTGTTTTAGCATGTATTTTATGTTTTGCTAGAAACTTCCCAGAGTGGCTAGATCAGCCCAGTCAGATGGGTGGATGATGATGATGATGATTAGCTCCACAGGCCATTCCCAGCTCCTCCAGTTAACAGATCTCTAGTTGGAATGGGGAAGGCCTAAGATTAGGTGACAGGGCTGGGAAAGACCTCATCTTGAAATCTTTGTGCAATTGCTACCATACCAAGTAGGTATGAAAAAGATATTGTCAGACTTGGTCTATGGCCGACGTCTATTCTCAGAGCAACAACCTCAATTAGAGACAATTCAACTGATTCATCAGCTGAAACTCTTATTTGATTAACCTATTAATTAAGTTTGTGTGATCAATTATGTCTGCATGCACATTTGCAAACAGTGGCATTAAGGGGAAAACAATGTTTCTGAAGCAAGATGCATTTTTTTGGCAGATAACAAAGCAAGCGCTATTTTAGAAGAGGCATTTCCTGGAGTGTGCGCACATGGTTATGTGGACGGGAGAGACGACGACTCTTCTTTTACAAACATAAGAAACACAGAAAGCTGCCTTATAATAACAACAGGAAAGACTATTTATCCATTGAGCCCACCAATGCCTACTCAGAGTGGCAGCATTTTTCCATGAAAAATGGAGATGTCAAAGATTAAACCTGGAACCTTCTGCCTGCAAAGCCTGTACACACTCCTACCATCTATTGCACATCTCACCTGCATTTTTTGGTAAGAAGCTGCATTAATATACAATATGAAATACAACTGCTGCCTTGTTAATCAGTGGCACTTTTGCACGCATGCACACACACACACACACACACGTAGCTGCACCTGCTGTCCCTTGGTCACTCTGGACTTTCTTAGTAGCTCATGCTCTCTCTCCATGCAATGTTTGTCACAGTGACAGGTACTCAGTATCCTTGTAAGCCTCCTGGGCAGCTTGGGTGAATTCGTTCTTACTCTAATGCAGTCAATAGGCGACGCCAATCTGTAATCTGCCCTAAGCCACTGAGATAGAATGGGGGGAGTCTAAATAATATATATGTAAATAATGCACAAGCTAAGGCTTCTTCCCTGGTCACCTAATAGTGCCATGATAACTGGAAACAGGATCTTAACACATCTGCTTGGGGGTCAGCTGTGGGAGGAGGCAGGTGAAACCTCCACTCTATAAATGCTGGAACGCTCACAGGTAAAGGTGTGCTTATTACTGCAGGGCACTGATGGTAGGTTCTAAGGATGCTGTCAGCACGATGAGTCTTGGAGCACAAACGTCAACAGCGGGCTCTTTCCCACAATGCCACTACAGTCTGATGGCTCTGATCTCATCTCATCAAGGTCAACAAATCCTCAAGGACCGCCTCTCCCTATGTGAAGTGACCCGGACCCTGCGATCATCATCTGTGCCTCCTCCGTGAGGGGTCTGGAGGGCAGCAACACGAGAACAGGCCTTTTCTGCTGTGGCTCCTCGCCTGTAAAATGCTCTCCCCAGGGAGGCTTGCCTGACCCCTTGGCTGCGTTGTTGTTGGTTTTTTTCCTGTATTTTTGTTGGAAGTCACCCAAGTGGCTGGGGCAACCCAGTCAGATGTGAGGGGTACAATAAATGTATTAGTATTAGTATTAGTATTAATCTTTAGGCACCGGCAAAACATTCTTCCCAGGCTTTTGGCTAATAAACAATCTATGGGCTTTTAAACTGTGGGGGGAGCATTGTATTTTTGTGTTTTTATATTGTAAACTTTGGTTTCTGAACTTTGTATGAAGGGTGGTATGGACATGTAATAAATAATAATAATAATAAATCCTGACCAGAGTTTTGAAAGGTAGCAAAAATGAATGCCCACTAGGATGTCACCAACTTATGGCAGACGGTGACTGGGCCACTTATAGACACCTCCAGACTCCAAGCTAATTCCCCAATTGCTGCTGCCAGCAATGGATAGTTGAGGGTTAACTCTAATTTAGTTTACGAGTTGAAGATACAGCAATAATTCCAAGCATCATAGGGGAGCTATTTGTGTGTTTGTTTAAAAAAACAGAAATACACAGTAACCCAAAGCTTGAAAGGAGCTATTTCTTTGCTGCTGAACAGAAAAGGCTGATGTGAGCAGCTGTATCCTTGATCCTTTTTTGGAAAGGAGCACTGGAAGGCTGAACCGAGGAGGAAGGGGAACCAAATGGAGGCGTGGATGAAACCCAAGCAGGCCGTGAGGTTACACTAACAGCAGAAGCAGCTGCAAACTGACCACCACATTTGCCTCTCCGTCGCCAGTGGCAGCGCTCATCAATCTGATAACTTTGCAGACGCAGATCCTTCTAGTTATTCCCAGAAGAGAAACGCTGAAAGTTGGGCTAACCAAAGCTAACAGACAGTGCAAGAACAGGAGAGATCTGGGGAGCAGTGGGGGAGAAACAACCAGTGAACTTGCGGATTTGAGTGTTTTAAAGACCCATTTCTAAAACCATGTCAATAAAGGGGCACAGATAGAAATCACCGAGGGAGTCTGCAAGCTGCCAGATCATTATTCTATGTAGGCCACCCTCTTCTGGCCTCTTTCCTTTCCTCCCATTTTCTCCTCTCCACACGCAAACATTACACATTTTAGAATTATGCCTCATTGCCACTGTAGTGTTCAGCGCCACAATTTTAATGACCCGTGTTTAAGAGGTATGTTACGTAGTAGTTCAAAAACCTAATTGCAATGCAATTATGTAAGTTTTAGACACATTGAATTTGACGGATTTCAAAAGGATAAAAATACAAAAGAAATGGGTAAATTATGCTGCTCCTTCCTAGGGCCAAAGAAACAGAAGCACAAAAAGAGGTGATGGAACTGACTATTAACATTATGGTTAGCTGAACTTCTGCATTTACCAGCTGAATAAATGTGGACATTTAAATTACACCTTTGCCTTCATCTCTGCAGCAAACAGAGCACCAGGGAAGTAAATTCAAGGCTTGGAATGTAAGCATATAAAAACAGCTTTATCCAGCCTAATGTCCACCAGATGTTTTAAAACTACAGCTCCCACAAGCCCCAGCCAGCATGACCAATAGCAAGGGATGGTGGTAGTCTACAACATCTGGAAGGTACCAAGTTAGGGAAGGCTGATAAAAAGGTCACCATAAATCTGGATGCTACACAGCACTGACTCTGTAGCACTGATACAGTGATGACAGCAGGTAGAGATGCTTAGGAGTAATGTGTAGATATGGTTCTCTGTGGAGTGCAGACCATAATTAGCACATCACTCTCTAAGGCAGTGTTTCCCAACCTTGGGCCTCCAGCTGTTTTTGAACTACAATTCCCATCATCCCTGACCACTGGTCTTGCTAGCTAGGGATGATGGGAGTTGTAGTCCAAAAACAGCTGGAGGCCCAAGGTTGGGAAACACTGCTCTAAGGTACAAAATACGTAAGACTTTGTCTTTCATGGCACTGATTTATAATATGCAACTGCTGGACAGCAGAGAACTCTTCATCATACAAATTGTTCTAATTCACTTTCAAATGCCTGATTTCCTAATTCATTCAAAGAAAAGGGGCAACCAAAATTATCAAGAGCTAAAGCAACTCCTGTATGAGTAAAACGAACAGCACACCAGACTTGTTAGCTTAAAAGGTAAAGGGACCCCTGACCATTAGGCCCAGTCGTGACCAACTCTGGGGTTGCGGTGCTCATCTCGCTTTATTGGCCGAGGGAGTCAGCGTACAGCTTCCAGGTCATGTGGCCAGCATAACTAAGCTGCTTCTGGTGAAACCAGAGCAGCTCACGGAAACGCCGTTTACCTTCCCGCCAGAGTGGTACCTATTTATCTACTTGCACTTGACACGCTTTTTGAACTGCAGGGGATTAAAAAAAAGGCACGTAAGGCCAGGGAAGGGCAAGGAGAGACCACCAGACAGGTATATAAAATTATGCAGGTGGGGAGAAAGAGGGCAGCGGTTTCTCTCTCATTGTCCTCGAGCCACGAGGTCATCCAATGGATGCTGGGAGATTCAGAACAGACAAGGAAGAAACCTTCTTCACCCAGTGATATTTAAGCTATGGAAATGGCTGTCCCGGCTGTGGCCCCCAACTTGGATAGCTTTAAAAGGGGGTTAAATAAACTCATGATGGAAAAAGGGGCTACTAGTCATGCAGCAACAAGAGGCAGGAGACTGAGGAGTCTGAGTGGGCAGCTTAAAACTGCCCCAAAATATCCAACCATCGCACCACAAAGAACATTCCTGTGTTAAGTAGAGGATCCTGTGGATGTGCCATCGGATTCTGTGCTGGGAAACGATGTTCAGTCCTAGTTCTGGCCAAAGAAGATTCCCAGACGTTCCTCTGTCACCACCAAGCAATGAAAAGCGGGCAAGAACCAATCAGATACGGGGCAGAAGCAAAACGAAGTTTTCACACACAAGGCTTTAGCGCCAACAGCCAAGCTTACCGTGTTATTTGGGGAACTCAGGAAATGAAATATCCCAATCACCCACTTCCAGAGACTGGGCTGATCCCACAGCATGGGGAGGAGCCACAGGCAGGCTCCTCCCATTCTACCCAAAGCTGCTCCTACCAGCTTAGGAAGGGGCCACAGATCCATGGTTCCCACGCAGCTCAAAAGGAGAAGGAGGCTGCAGGCCACTTGACTGCTCCCCCAACAAAAGCCTGAAGCAATTACCATGCGAGTCCCTGACTTGGCAGCCTTTTTGTTTCACACCCAAGGCCTTTGCCCAATTAGTGTACGGTTTCAAGTGTGCCTTTCCTCACAGCTTCCAAGGCTTTTCTTTGTCCCCAAGGGACTCATTAATCCCTTCCCCCTTACCTGCTTCCAAAGGAAGGAGTCCGCCCTGTTCTGGTGCCAGGAGATTACCAGGTGCAGCACAGAGAGCAAGGCTCCAGCCAGGACCGCCACCCTCATGCGGACGGGGAGGAGGGTGTAGATGATGTAGATGAAGAAGACGCTCCACCAGACGCCCTCGGAGGCACTGCGTGGCGAGACCAGGAGAGTGCCCAGAGCCTGCACCCCGCACAACGCCCCAATGACCAGGTAGCTCACGGCCCACATGCAGTCCTGGTGGAAGCCAGTCCGGTTGCAGAGGACCATGAGCGAGAGGAACAGGGCGGCCGCCACGGCCAGGGCGGCGGCATAGGGCACGCGGGGAGTGCCAGGCACGCAGTGGAACAGCAGCATGATGCTGCAAGCCAGCACCAAGACTCCCATGAGCACCGTCAACGAACTCTGGTTCATCTGGAAGAAGTAGCGCTGGTAGAGCCGCTCCAGCTTGGCCGAACGGAAGCGCTTGGAGCGGAACACTTGCAGCAGGCGCCGGCCGCAGTCGCTGGCCGAGAGCCCCTTGGCCTCTCCGCCCCCGTCCTCGAAGCCCAGGTCCACAGCTTTGAGTCCCAGGTCCCCAGTGCCAGGCGGGGGTGGCGGCGGCGCCTTCTTGCCATAGTGGTCCTCCTGCCACGAACAGTTCAGGCCCAGTCCCCCGCTGCCTCCGCGCTCCAGCTCCGGGTCCTGCAGGCAACTCATGTAGCGAGGGCCACAGAGCGCTGGGCGGTGGCGCTTGGGCCCATTGCGCTCCCCCCAAGCAGTCTTCCGCTCGTCCACTTTGGGCACCAGGATGCCGCTAAACCAGGACATACTGTGGGGAAGGGGAAAGGGCATTAGAAATAAGAACAGGCAGAACAAGGGAGAAAGTCAGCTGGGCTTGCCTGTCCGAGAGGACCAACCCCACATTGTTCCCCACACAGCCCAGTAAGGGGAGCAGTTCCTGCCATGGGTCCCTGCAACCTAGAAGGAGGTGCTTTCTTTCCTTGCCGGATACAAAGCAAGGACAAGGGAAGAATGAAATCCTGATCATTAGCAGACCACTAGCAAGGTTCCTGGGCAAAGGTGTTCCCCTCTCTACGGGAGGCTGGGCCACAGAGCACACAGGGCACTGGGACATCTCCAGTTTAGGTAACAAGGATGGCGGCCACCAAACAGGATGCTCTTCAAGCAGGGCAGCCGGATCAGTGCCAGGGGACGAGGCAAGGCTTGTGTGGCAAGATACATAAACCAGAGGTGCCTCACGTAGAGAGGTGGGACAGGGGAAGTGGAGCAACCACATTCTGGAAAAGAGCATCTTGAGAGCCTGCAGAGGGAGGGTTCAGATTTATTAAGGGTCCGTGCTTCAAATATAATGAGGCATCGGGAATCCCAGTGCATCAGAGGCTGCCCTCTCTGCCTTGGGGAGATTCAATACCTGGAAGGCCGCTGGGAACTGGACACGAGGAGGCGACATGGATCCCCGTAGGGAAGGCAAAGAAGCAGCAGTGAGGGGCGTCTCTTATTTCCTCTTCAACATTGAGCGGCAACCTGTTCAAAGAAAAGAAAGCAGTCAAGCTTGTTGTTCATCCTTGATGCTCTTCCAAGGCTGAATCTCCCATTGCATCCCGTTCTCCTGCTCTCTGGAACTGGAGACTGGATATTTCTCTCCTTGCCAATCTGTGGTTACCTTCACACATTCTCTTTGGGCCTCAAGTTCTATTACAGACACTTCCCCCGAGATGCAACTAGATTCCCACCAGGGTATGACACCCCCTCCCCCCATGCATACTTTATGCTGAGTGACGCAAAGAGGATATCTTTCCCTTATTCCCCTTCCAACACGGATGACAGTATGAGCGCGATGCTCTAACTAACAGCCCACAAACACAAGTAAATACATTAAACTGCTTTGAGTCAAAAGGACAGCTCAAAGAAGTCGCTTTGTAACCTCAGGTTGCGTGGCGCTGACAGAGGGAGACTTGCGGGTACTTTGGTCACTGAACCATCTGCTGCTGATACTGGGAATCAGAAATATCTGCATGCCCCCCCCCCGACCTGCACAAAAAGCAGCTAACAGAGTCTCTGGGGTGGCTTCCTTCAATTTAGCATCCCCGGTGCAGCAAAGTGGAGGACAGGCAGCAACAGTTGTCCTACCAAGGTCAGCTCCAACAAAGAACAGTGATCAATATGCTAATCTCTCTTTCCTTCTTTAAAAAGGCCGGCTCCTAACATTCCAACCCACTGAGAAGGACTAAGGGGGGGGGGGGAACCCAAAAGGATGGTGTTATGTGGATGAGGAGGGGGTTGCTGCAGAAGGGAAAACCTGCTTGAGTCTTAATCCCCAAGATCAAGGAAGGGAGCAGGGAATGGGATTAGCCCCACCCCAACAGTGGACTTGCACACTTTCCCTACTTCCCACAGGAGAGAGGATGGCTGTCAGTAATTCCTCCAGAGAGAAAGTGAAAGTGCTGCACCTGGAGAATTAGCGGCTGCCTGAAGCAAAATCTCCCTGTGCATTGCTCTCACCAACAGAGATCCCATGGGGAGGGGGTGCTATACACAGGTCCCCTCTCTATACACATCCTGCCCATTGCAACAATAAGGGGACAGAGGGGGTTGTTGGCATTGATCAAGGCCTTACAGAATGCTGTTGGAGGGGGTCGGGTGGAGCAAAGGCCAGCCTCCCTGTTTAACTGGCAGGTTGAGAAGGCATGTGGCATGTTGGTGGCAAGGCGACTGTGCCCTGCCCCCTCTCTCTCCCCTGAAGTGGGAAGAGTCTTCTGCGAGTGTCAGCCTGGCAGCAAAACCGGGTTCCTAACATTTCATCACACTCTTAAGAGTGCCCAAGAAACAGAAGCAAAGGTAGAGTTATGCAGATGAAGGGACTGAATTATTCAGAGACATCTCAAGGCAACACCACACTCCTTGGCTGTCACTAGAGGCAAAGGGAGAGGACCGAGAGAGCGTTCACACGCACAGCAACCCACCAATCTCCACCAAAGCCCTTGCAAAACACAAGTCCTTTTCCCACACTGCCCATCAAAATGGTATCTCTGCACAGCGAATACACACACACACAGAAAATGCATAGAAAAGTTTAAAACGTACAGTGAACACAGCCTACGATATGCAGCCTTCCTTATGCAGTCCAGAAAACTCCAGAAGTTCAGATCAGACCCCACTGGTCTCCGACACTTGCTGGCTCACCTGATCCACGCATCAAAGATCCAGAACACAAGGTGAAAGGAACTATTTGGCCACAGCTCAGTCCAAACTCAGTTTACTTGTCCACTAATTCCAGCTCGCCATTCTGCTGCTCTCTCAGCAATGTGCCCTTCCTCTTCTCCAAACGGTGTGGAGTTTTGCCCAGGGTGCAACAGGATAGATTTCAGAGGGAAAGTTTGGGGCAGGAGTGGCAGCGGTGCTAGTTCCTGGCAGCTGGGTCCTTCCTCTGGCTTAGCTCGCCCATTCACTGCAAAACCAAAGTGGAATAGTTTTCCCCTTTCAAACTCTATTTGTCTTGAGTGCCAGCCAAACCAGGGCTTGTTTTAGCTCCAACCCCTTCGGAGAGCGATTCCAGTGCCCTCCCACACTGTTCTTATCTGCATCCATCCAGGGAGATGGCGTCAACGTCATGACATCACTGCCCTTTACTGTAGGAACACACAGGCAGGCTTCAGAAGCTGGACCCCCCTTCCCCTCCAATCCCCATACAACACACACACACACACACACACACACCAGGAATGGCTTCACACACACCAGCAGCACTCTGACGCAGCCTCCTGGGCTGTGGGAAGCAACAGCCAGCAGCACATGAGGACAGCTTTGTGGCAAGCGGAGGAGGTCAAGGGGTGCAGGACATAACCCATCCAGGGAGAAGCCGGGCTGAAATAAAACTCAAGCATGCGGGGAGGGGGAAGGACTTTGGCTTAATAGCAAGGTTTATTACAGCTCAGCTCCCCCAGCATGGATTTCCCCCCTCCCCGCAAAAAACCCCCACATTCGTAAGTGATGCAATAACGAAGCATAACAAAGTGATACAACAGCATCAGCATCTTCCTCCTTGGTTCAGCTATGCATCCTAGGAAGAACACATGCCCCCTCGCATAGTCACTTTTACCCTACTCCCTGCAGCCCAACACCCCTCACTCAAGAGCCTGTTCCCTATAGCACAGCACCCTCTGCCTTGCACCAGGTTATAGGTCAACTTCCTTTCCCTTTCCTTCCCCAGGTCCTACTAGGGGGCTTGGGAGAGGTGGTTCCAAAGTTCAATGAGAAAAGAGCCTAGGGCCCCACAGAGACTCTCTGCCCTGAGACCCCCTTCCCTCTGCCTGCTTTAAAGGGGAGACACGGCAAAAGAATAAGAAAGTGCACAGCTCACAAGACAGAGGCTTTAGGGGAAGCCCACCTGCTCCTCCTCCAGGTATGTAACCTGACCAGGCTGAGAAGCTAAGCTGCCCAGGCCAGCCCACATTCGGGAGCCAACCAATCCCCGCAGAGGGATCCCAGAAAACCAATCCTCGGGGAAGCAGAAATGGGGAGAAAAGTCCTACCGCGTTCAGCCCTTGCGAACACAAGGAAGGTGAAATCTTTCAACTCTGGGAGTTGCATTATCATTAGCCTTTTCTCCTGCGCTCTCCAGGCACCTTATTCTTTCCCCGCTTAATTCAAGAGCCAATGTTCCAGTCGGGAGGCAGCCAGGGAACTTTCCCGGCTCTGGGCAAGTGCGCCCCCCCAGGGCCCCGCATCGGCCCGCCGCTGTGCGCACCTGTCCCCCCGCCCCTTCCCCCCCCCCGCGCCCTCTTGCATTCCCCGCAGTCGCCGCGGATCTCTGGGCCCAAAGAGCGCCCCCAGCCGGCGCGCTTTGTCCCCTCTCCTCCCGGGCGCCAAGTCGCCGTGGGGACGGCCTAACTGCTCCCACCCCTTTCTGCTCGTTGCGCTGCCATCCCTCTCGGGACCACCTCCCCAGCCAGCTTCTCCCCGCCGCACCCCCGCCAGGCCCGGCCTTTCTGGACGCGGCGGTTCCCAGAGCCAGCCTCCCAGTGCCCCGCCGCCGCCGCCGCCCGGCTCCATGCGTCCTCCGGGGCGCAAAGCGTATTTCCCCCTCGGAGAGATCTTCCCTGCTCCCTGCGCTCTCCGGCTTGCTCCCGTTCACCACCACCTCCGCCACTACCACTCACCTCCGGGTGCTGGGCCGCCTCTGGGCACGGCAGGGCCCTCCTCCTGTGCGGGTGGGGCGGCGGGGGGGTGTAGCAAGCCGCGATCTCTGGCAAGCAGATCCTTCTGCAGCCCCTCGCTATCTGTTTACACCATGCGCCCCCCTCTCCGCTTTCGCCTCCTCTCCATTCCTGCCCGCCCGCCCGCCCGCCCGCCCGCTCGCTCTGGGCCCGTCCCCTCCTCCCCGCGTTGTCCAGAGTAAACGCCCTCTAGCCCGGATCCACAAGGCTCGCCCCGCTCCGTGCGCTCCTGACCGGGATCGCCAAGCCGGAGGCCTTAAAGGCACAAGGTCCCTTTTGTCGCCTTCCCGCCGCCTGTTGCGCGGGGATGCGGGGGCCGTTGGCGCGGGGGAAGCAGAGATGCCGAGGGAGAGAGGAGCTGTGATTCCAGGCGGCGAAGGCGCTTGGCAACGAGAGGCGGCGGAGGCTGCCCAAAGCAGCAGGGGCACCTGCTGCAAGCAGGCAGAGCGGCAGCTGGGCCCAGTGGTGCAACCCGCCTCTCCCCACGCTGCGGTAGATGGATTGGCTCGGCTCACACGCGTGCCCGCCGGGAGATACACGCAACACCTACCGCCCGTGGGTGGCGACAGTCCCCGGTGTCCTAAAGCACAACTCTTGGCTACAAGGGTCTCTGAGGCTCTCTCCTCTTCGTACGCACATCCCCCCCACCCCAGCATAAAAAATCTCCCAATCCCAGGACACTAGTGGATCCCAAACTATTGTCGCCTAGAGGGGGAATCTCTTAATGCCGTTTTGGGTTTTGCTCAGGAACCACCTGTTGTTGCCATCTCTTAAACCAGGACAATCCCTCTCCCCTCTGCTTTTTGCTTATCCCCAACGCACAACAGGAATATCAGGCTGAAAGTCTGTGCGGACTTAGCTGAGAGCCAACCCCGCTGAAAACAACGGCACTTACTTCGGAGTAGGCATGCCTCTGCCAGCCGTATAAGCGTCCACCCGTTTGGATGCCCACGGCTTCAGTCATCAGATACACTCCATCCATCAACAAGTGGCTCGCCAGCCTGTTTGCCCAACTTGGAGGCCGCTCTCCTGCGCTCCAGATCCCGATCCCAGGCAATCTCTCAGGGCTGGTTTGAGTCTCCCCCCCCCCCCCGCGCAAGCTTGCTAGCAGCATACAAGCCGATGAAGGGAAATGGTTAGTGAGCAGCTTGCCCTTGGCATGGGGACAGTGCCAGGCAGAGGACAAGCCCTAAATCCTTCTGTTCGTGCCACTCCCTTAGTTTGTGCCAGCGAGGGAGAAAAGGGAAGGCAGGCCTCCCCGTGGCACAATCCTCCGAAGAGGTAAGCTTAATTGTTAATTAACCGTGAGTCCCACGGGGCCAGGGAAAGTGCCCGCAGTGGCAAGGATGGCATTTTGTTAAGGGCACAGTGGAGCGGTTCTTCCAGGGCACCTGCCCCCGTGCCCCCGTGCCCCTGTGCCGCTGGGTGTGTACAAAACCTCCACTCCCTCCCTGCTTTGCAGATTGGCTTGGCTATGGAATAATGCCACCAAATCTCCTTAACAGAGTGACTTATTAAAGCGCTGTTTGGGGAGTGATTATCCCCTGCGCAAGAAGGTCTGGGCTTCCCCCGGGCCTGCTTGCTTGGCTTCTCCCCAGGCAAGGAAGAGGGGAAGGGGGTGTGAAAGGCATTAATTGATTCCGAAGCCTTTCTCCTGAATGTTCCATTGCATCATAGCTGATGGCAGGGGGATTAGGACTGGGTGTCATGTGATGGCCTTAACCCTTCCCAGACTGTAACTGGACACAGAGAGAAACAAGAGCCAGAAAATGTGGCAGAAACTCGTCACATTAACATATCTTTGGTGCCTCTTTTCTTTTCTTTGACTGCGTACACATCGTGCATTTAAAGCACATTGTTTCCGCCATGTCTCCTGGGAACTGTAGCTTAACCCTCACAGAGCTACAGTTCAGAGCACCCTTAGCAAACTACAGTTCCCACGATTCTTTGTGTGAAGTCATGCACTCTAAACTTGTCTTATGTACACAGCCATTGTCTTCTTCGACATTTCCATTCTTCCTGGTGGAGCTCTAATATGGCTACTCTAAATATATGGATGCATTTTAACTCCTTTTCTAATAACCGAGTATGGAAGAAAATTCACCGGATTGTGAATTTGACGTGGTGTTTTCTTTGCAAGTTCCCTTTTCACCTGGCTGGTGGCAGTTATTTGGAGTCAAGCTTTCTAACTCCTGCTCCAATGAGTGTCATAGGAGAGTGTTTTCAAGCAGGGTTTTATGAAACCCTTAAGATTCATGAGCATCTGCTTACACAGGTTCTGCAAACATTATCATTGTCCCACTTCAAGGACATCACTTTCCTGTGCTGGCTAGTCACCTCCCTGTTCTAAAAGTGGGTTTATCCCTGAGTAACACATGTCCCAGTATAATCTCATGATGCATCTTTTGTGCTTAATTGTTCAAAAACAGTCTTTATTTGAATTTTGAAAACGTTAAACACTACGTGCTTCCAGACAGGTTTTTGTTTTGTTTTGTTTTTTGTCACGAACAGGTAATTCAGATCTGATTTTTGTGTGTACGTGATTGGCATGCAACCATCAACACACTCCATTTTTAGTTATAGATTTTTCATAGCTGTTCAGCTGTTTCCTATCTTGATGAGATGCTACATTTTTTGGTTTCTTCCCTCAACTGCCCACCCCCACCCCAATGCCACCTTATCCTGTTCCAGGCCACAGACAGCTTTAAAAAAATCACAGGTAGAGGACAAAAGTAAACTTTACCTCTCGTTATCATGCTTCACTATGGGCAAAATGAAGGCTTATGCTGTGCAGATAGATATGGTTCCATTTATTTATTTTTTAATGTTCATTTAAGAGTTGTGAAAAGCTTGTGTTTAGCTATACAGAAATTCTGATGCATAGGTCTTGTGCAAGATCTTGTATTATTATTTTTAAAGACCTGATGTATGTGTTGTGATTACAGTCCTCAAGGGACTCCCTCACATGCACTGAGATCTTGGGAAAACAGCTCCTCCAAACTGGGCTGTTGAAAATTTTGACATGCCTTCGGCATGTGGTCATTGGCAGAAGTAGATGGGGAAACTGAACTTGAAAATGTAAAATAAAATAAAATTGGGTCATGGGAAACAAAATCGCCAAGTTGTGCTCAGGTGAGGAGCAGATAGAAGCAGGAGTGTGGCAATGGGGACAACCTACTAAAACATTTACCACACATGTGGTAATTTACCCTAACCCGCCCCCCCATATGCTGGCAAGCTTCTGCTCCAGTAGTCACTGCAGGTATATAATGGGTTATTTGTACTGAACATCTTTTCTACAGGCGATATGGATTAAATGTAAAAAAAGAGAAAGAGAGACTTTGTGCCTCCATTTTGGTGGCAAGAACGGTCATATGGGTGGTGCAAAAACCTTGCATGTGTGAACAGCAACAATTCCACAATAAACTTTCACCTGGAAGCACTGTAAGGCTGCTATGCTATATCTAATTACTAGAAAGTAGACCCCAATGAACTCACTGGGACTTACATCTGAGTAGATGTAACCAATTGAGCTGTAAATTTCTGATTAACAGTTGCCCTCTCACTTGGATTGGTCTCTTGGTGCCTGAGTTTTCCTTTCCAATGGAAAGTGGGGGAGATAATGGAATTTCCCCAGCTTTAAAGAACAACTGCCCCAAAGGCCTGCTTGTGATTATTTGTGTTTGTGATTGTTCAGGGAGTCTGGAAGATCCCCAAAGCTACACAGGTTGGGGACGAAGGAGCCCTTAAAGCCCAGGACTAGCAGGTGTGGGGGGGTGTTAAATAAGAGATTCTTTCCACACTAATTCTGTGCAAAGGTTTTGGGAGCAATCACCATGGCGGGAAGAGTGCTCCGCAGAGGCCAAATGTTTAGGGTCAGCCTGATCCTGATCCTGGAATAATCCAAGCCTGCTGCAAATGATTTTTCAAATCCTGACATTAGATGATTGCATGTGGCATCAAACCTAAAATGCTTTTTGAGCATTATGCCCCACTGGTCTTGGGCTGGGTGGCAAAGATACATACACTGAGAAGGAGAGAAGAAAGAGCTGAGGGCCAAATGCAGCCTCTCTAGCTGGCCCTCGGAGCTCTCCTTAGGCTGCCATGGCCTGCTGGAAAACATCCTTGAATCTGGATATCTCTTGCTTGCCAGAGTGGAGGACAGCAACATGTTTGTCTAAGTAGAAACTAGCCTACTGTACAAGGGGAAAATTGACATTTGTTGCTCCACCTACTTTTGTCTCTGGCTCCACCCACCACTGACATGTGGCCCTCAGAAGGTTGCCCAGGGGAATGTGGCCCTTGGTTCCCTGCCCCTGCTATAGATGAAGAGATGAAGCTAGTGGCGAAGCTGCATGCTCTGGCACACAGCTGGCAGGGGTGTGTGGCTGGTGTGCGTCCCGGGGCGTGGCACTTTGCCTGAGGGGTGTGGCGCCCAGCCCGGTGGTATGTGTCCTGGGGGGGTGGGGCCCGGCCCGGTGCGGGGTGTGTGGCGCATGTCCGGGGGGGCAGCTGTGATGGTACCCCCCTCCCCTATGGTGCCGGGGGGTGCGCTCCCCCGCCCCCCCATTCCTCCGCCAGTGGATGAAGCACAATGGGGAATTTAAGAGCCAATACAGAATGCAGTGCACCAGAATGACATAGGTAAGGCTGCAAGCCTTTGCTCAGTCACCAGGGAATTAGTTTCACTGAACTGACTGGAACTTAATTCCTAATAATAGCAACAACGACAACAACACCTTTATTGTCAATGTACAACCTGTGTACAATGAAATTAACTGAGCCTCCCTCCCCGCCCCCCACAAACACTCAGTCTCACTGCACTCATTGCACCCTAAACATGCAGAGATCAGGCCTACCACCAAGATTTCTCCCATTGAACTTAGTGGAACTTTTTCTTAGTAAAAATATTTGAGACTGGGATGTCAGGATGCAAACAACAAACATAAATACTGCTCCTTTTTCTGTCGATTCTATGGTGCTATACTGCGGGTTTAGCGATCTTGCAAGAGTGGGATTGGAGGATTCTAGGCCAGTGTTTCCTAAACTTCGGATAGCTGAGGCACAAAATCTATCTGAATTGAAAAGGGAAACACAACACTCTTAGATCTGCAAAGACTAAAAAGAAACATACCCCAAATAGTAACTCATGCAGAGATGCGGCAGGCACCCTCCTATGAGGGCTGGTAATTCTGGTGCATTTGTTCATCAGGTATGATTGAATTGTTTGCATATTTCAGGGGTGGCACCTGGCACTAATAGTATGTTCAGAAGCTGGGCCCTGGCTCAAATCAAGCTTTTCACAGAGCTTCATTTGAGCTAAAATATGGCATCTGTTTTCACCACTTCAGCTAATAGCTGCTCTTGTGGGGTGGGAGGGTTTGCATCAGGGAACGGATGTGGGGGAAAGGGGAGAAAGGGTTAAACCTCTCCACTTTGCTTCCTTGATCCAAAGCTCTCTCTTCTCTCTCATGTGTACACGCACAAAGAGCAGCTGTTTTTCAAAAGAGAAAGTGATTTTGGAGATGCACTCCTGGCTCTCCATCATCATGTATAGTTTGGGTATGTTTCCCTGGTGCAGGGAAAAGAGTGCTGGGGTCAGTCGCCAGCAGTTGCACTATGCCTCTGTATAATAGTAGCTAGTAATCACAAGTGTGGGGGACGCGGGTGGCGCTATGGGTTAAACCACAGAGCCTAGGACTTGCCGATCAGAAGGTCGGCGGTTTGAATCCCCACGACGGGGTGAGATCCCGTTGCTCGGTCCCAGCTCCTGCCAACCTAGCAGTTCGAAAGCACGTCAAAGTGAAAGTAGATAAATAGGTACCGCTCTGGCGGGAAGGTAATCGGTGTTTCTGTGCGCTGCTCTGGTTCGCCAGAAGCGGCTTAATAATGCTGGTCACATGACCCGGAAGCTGTATACAGTGGTACCTCGCAAGACGAATGCCTCGCAAGACGGAAAACTCGCAATACGAAAGGGTTTTTGGTTTTTTGAGTTGCTTCGCAAGACGGAAACGTCTTGCAAGTTTGTTTCCTTTTTCTTAAAACTGTTAATACAGTTGCGACTTGACTTCGAGGAGCAACTCATAGCATGCGGTGTGGTAGCCTTTTATGAGGTTTTTGAAGACTTTGGTGATTTTTGAAGCTTTTCCAAAACTTTTCCGAAACCGTGCTTCGCAAGACGAAAAAATCGCAAGACGAAAAAACTCGCGGAACGAATTAATTTCGTCTTGCGAGGCACCACTGTACTGGCTCCCTCGGCCAATAAAGCAAGATGAGCGCCACAACCCCAGAGTCGGTCATGACTGGACCTAAGGGTCAGGGGTCCCTTTACCTTAATCACAAGTGTGCTGGGGCACTCATGTGCTCCTCGTGGTTTCCCACAGGCACCTGAGAGACAGCAGATCCAGGAAGGCTCTTGTTACATTCAGTCCCCCTAGCACAGGGGTCCTGAAACTAAGGCCCGCGGGCCGGATAAGGTCCAAGGGACTCGTTTATCCAGCGCACAGTAACCCCCGCCGCCTGCTCTTATCAGCGCCACGCTGCCCACTTCCAGGTCGGAGGAGCACTGGAAATAGCTTGTGCACATGCGCAAGCATTATTTGTGCATGCGCAAGTGTTATTTGTGCATGCACAAGTGTTATTTCCAGTGCACATCCGGGTTGGAAGAGGCCCGTGCACGTGCACACAAGCTATTTCCAGTGCTCCTCCGACCCGGAAGTTCGCCGGAAATAGCGTGTGCGCACGTGTATGGGCACACGCATCCCCGCCCTCTGGCCCGCTGTGAGATTGGCGCTGGAGACACTGGCCCGAGGCGCGGTAAGTTTGCTGACCCCTGCCTAGTACAAGCAATCAGGATCTGCCACCTAAGGGACTGTCTTTCTTTGGAATCTTTCCTTGCCATGCATAGCGACACAGGCTCGCTCCCCATCTTCCCTCACCTCCTATTCCAAACAGTGGCGCAGCTCTGTTGCATTATGCAGCTACTGCATCTCTCCCCTCCTCTGTAGAGAGGCCTGTGTCCCACTCCTGAGCCGGAAAATCACGGCCACGTGCAATTTGCCAGCTCAGTTTGCAGAGCTTGGTGAGGTTAATTATTACAACAGCTCCCCCCCCCTCCTTTTCCATTTCTTTCTTTTTGCTGGGAGATTCCAGAGCAGCGATAAGAACTGGCCAACACATCTCAGAGGGCTTAACGTTCATTAACTGAACGCCACAGTCTGCCATGATGAAGCAAGCTGAACCAATTCTCCTGTGTCAAGGAAGGGAGACTGAGGCTGGGAAAACGGGGTGGGAGAGTTACCCAAGGTCACAGAGTGATTTATCAGGCAAGACAGGAACAGAAAGGTTTGCCAGAATCACCATGTTTTTAAAGGGACTGTCCCTATTACCCCAGAACATTTCAGAATGCTACAGCACTAGAGAACAGACACCACAACTTATTTTTAATGCTCCCCCCCCCCACTCCCTTAGCAGCACTTAGGTCCTGGCCTCTAGCCATCTGTTTTTCTTCCTTGTAATTTAGGTCTTCTGACATGGAATTCTCCACACTGAGACTCAATTCTGGAATCTGGAGTTAAATGAATGTGTCACATCACATGTAAGCATTGCTGTTTAGCTGTGGAACTATCCCCCGTGCTTCCCCTTACAGTTCTACAATGCAGTGGTGCCCCAGAATGAGAGAATAATGGACAGCTGAAGCAAAGTGCTGGGCTTCTATCTGCACCACAGACATAAACCAGTTCCATAGCCTTTCCCTCTTCCTAGGAACTTTTAATTCTGAGGCAGTGAACAATGGATCAGTTCAAATGCAGACAACAATCTGGTGTGCAAAAGAAGTTAGCCATCCCTGTACTAGATATGAAAACAATATATTGTGGTGTTGGAACAGGATTATGCACATGCAGTAGGTTGATAAGGTTGGGATAAAGGTGGCAGCCCTAAACGCTCCCCCCTTCTTAAAAATAGGTCCCCCAATGTGATTCTGTGATGCACCAAGAAGTGTGGTGGGTTGTGAGCCCACTCCCCACCCCCCGCAAATGTACATAGGAGAAGAAGATAAGGTCTTGTCACACAAGGAAAATCTCCAACATTTCCTAGGCAAAAACTGGGACATTTGTAAACTGTCCTCACCCAAAGTAACATAAGGCACACCTCATTTCATTCCGTAAGATGCCCTTTTTTGAATACCATATATATTTAACTTGCTATAGCCTGACTTACAATGTGTGTTAAATACCCCCTTTAAAAAACAAATCCCAAACCTTTAGAACAGGCATAGGCAAACTCTGTCCCTCCAAATGTTTGGGACTACAATTCCCATCATCCCTAGCTAACAGGTCAGGGATGATGGGAATTGTAGTCCCAAACATCTGGCAGGCTGGAGTTTGCCTATGCCTGCTTCAGAATATATATTATTCAATTTATTCATTCAGTTTCCTCCCAAAGGAGCCCAGGGTGGAAAACACATCAATAATAAGTGTGTGTAAATACACTTAGAAACATTCTAAAAGCAGTTGAATGTATTCTCAGCCAGTGATTTCAGGTTGCCAGAAACTGTATCTTTCAGCCATCAAATCCTGGGTCAACCAAGAAAGCCTCATTTCACAGGGTCTGAAATGGTTTGTTTAATCTAACAATGTGTCTGGTTATACTTATGATGGGACAACTGCAGTTCAAGCACATCGGCAACATGCTGTGAGTGGTGGTGGTGAATGGGCAGCTAGGACACGCCTGAAGATGCTGCAAACATTTTGAAAAAGGCTTCCCACAAAGGCGTGTGACTTGCTTGGGACATGTACCAGAAAAGACAGACTGTTCCTGGTAAATAGAAACAGGGAGCGTATGTGAATGTTGGGTGCTGGGGACACACAGAAGGGGAAGGAGTGCTGTCCTTGTGCTCTGCTCAGAAACTTCCCAGAGGCAAATCTGGCTTGGCTGCTGTGGGAACAGAATGCTGGACGAGGGGGACCTTCCATCTGATCCAGCGAGCCTTTACACCATAAAGCCTTTCGTTTGAGGTTCCTGGAAGGGTTGGTGTTAGGAGAGCTGCCGTGATTTAGGCAGTACCCAGCTTGGACTTGCTTTCTGCAAATTTCTGATGGCAGAGGGCAGCTCTGAATTCTGCCCCCTAATGAGCAGAGGTCACAGCCTTCTGGCTAGTCTCTCATTCCATTAGAGAGAATTAAGAGGGAGACCAAAAGTCATGGAATGAGGCTTTGACCCTGGGCTGGCCTGCGCTGCATTCCCACCCTGAGCGATCTGATCTAAGGGGGCTTCAGACTTCCCTGAAAGGCTTCTGTGTAGAGGAGCAGAGGTCAGAAGCGACTTCTTCCCAACTGCGTTTGTGCCAAGCTTTAAAACAGCAGCAGCTGAAGCAGGAAACGGGCCGCTTGAACAATAGCCCTTTGCAAATCCATGTCCCCAAGGGTTTCAATCTGAGATGGAGCCAACCCGGAACTCTCCAGGCTTAAACCATCGGGGACTTCAGGGGATGAGGGTGGGGGAGGGAGGAGAGTGGGAGAGAGACTCCAGCCCTGATTGGAATCTTGAAAGATGAATCATGTTAAGATTTTGAAGAAACTTTCTCTTCTCCACTCCTCCCACGCCAGACGCTTTCCTGCGTTTTACTGAAAGGAGGATTCATGGCCTCTCCTCTCACCCCCACCCAAAAGTGACTGCTGGTGTAGTTTACTCCTCTTATGCTCAAGTCCTTGGAAATTCATGCGGCGAGAAGCCCACGGAAATAGTGCTGAACTGGCTCCACTGAGGAGAGGAAGGGAGATGTCGGTACGTGAGAATGAGAACCAAAGCATGCAGGGAATCAAAACTAAAATAAAATCTGCCCAACAGCCCAGTGAGCTAAGCATGGAGTGCAGAACAATCTCAGTTAGAAAGCGGAAATGGAAAACAAGGTTTTTCTAAATAAGGGAAAAGGCAGGCTGGAAGCCTGGACCAGAAGTGCTCCTTTCAGGTGAGAAGGGTACACAGCACCGTTTAGTATATAAAACGTATTAACTGTATCTTCAGAAGACAGCACATACATGTGTGGCTCCCAGGCAAACGACCTTCCAGACTGCCTAAACAGCAGACAGATCTTTATTTTTCTTCTAAAGAGAGAGCTGTAGGCAGTTTGGAAAAGAGTGCATGCACCACTTTTGTGCATGTACCACTTTTGCCTACAGAAAGCATATTTTTGTGCCTTCTCAAAAATATGCAAATACACAAAACCTGTTCAGCCAAAGGAAGCAAAATGCATGAGGGCAAAGCATACCGTGGAAAGTGAAGAGTTTCTGTGTTCACCACAGTGCCCTCCATCGGGATTGACTAATAATTCAGTCCCTTGTGGCGCCCACCAGCCCAAGTGCTTGGGGAAAGGCTTCCTGGCTTCTCTTGCAAAGTCACCATGCCTGAAGGGGCTAACCCTGCTCCCAAAGCAAACCTCCCCAACTTGGAGGACAGGGAAGAGCCAACACCAAGGATCCACAGGCATCCAGGGCTTCTGGTCGCCTAGCAACCGGCCCCTTGCCTGCTCAGCTTGGGATTCCATTGATCCAAATTACGCTGTCAACAAAGTTGCTGTGGCAACCGGTGGAGGGGGTGAAAGTTGGTGGAGGACATCTTGTTTCAAGAAGGGCTGAAGGCCCCCCAGCACAGCGGGAGAAAGAACGGAAATCCAGAGAACCAATCGGATGCAGATCACTCTGAGATCTATGAATGAAGGACAATATACAAATTCGATCAATAATAATAATAGTCCGTGGAAACCCTCAGGGGCAACCAAGCCTCTCATGTTCTCCATGGCCTTTGCACATTTGCATCTATCACTCCATGGGAAAGGAGTCCATGGGGGTGATTATGATGGGGAGAAGTCTTTGGTTCTGTCTTGGGCCCGGTCTTATTCAACATCTTTATCAACGACTTGGATGATGGACTCAAGGGCATCCTGATCAAATTTGCAGATGACACCAAACTGGGAGGGGTGGCTAACACCCCAGAGGACAGGATCACACTTCAAAACGACCTTGACAGATTAGAGAACTGGGCCAAAACAAAGAAGATGAACTTTAACAGGGAGAAATGTAAAGTATTGCACTTGGGCAAAAAAAAATGAGAGGCACAAATACAAGATGGGGGACACCTGGCTTGAGAGCAGTACATGTGAAAAGGATCTAGGAGTCTTGGTTGACCACAAACTTGACATGAGCCAACAGTGTGATGCGGCAGCTAAAAAAGCCAATGCAATTCTGGGCTGCATCAATAGGAGTATAGCATCTAGATCAAGGGAAGTAATAGTGCCACTGTATTCTGCTCTGGTCAGACCTCACCTGGAGTACTGTGTCCAGTTCTGGGCACCACAGTTCAAGAAGGACACTGACAAACTGGAACGTGTCCAGAGGAGGGCAGCCAAAATGGTCAAAGGCCTGGAAACGATGCCTTATGAGGAACGGCTAAGGGAGCTGGGCATGTTTAGCCTGGAGAAGAGGAGGTTAAGGGGTGATATGATAGCTGTGTTCAAATATATAAAAGGATGTCATATAGAGGAGGGAGAAAGGTTGTTTTCTGCTGCTCCAGAGAAGCGGACACGGAGCAATGGATCCAAACTACAAGAAAGAAGATTCCACCTAAACATTAGGAAGAACTTCCTGACAGTCAGAGCTGTTCGACAGTGGAATTTGCTGCCAAGGAGTGTGGTGGAGTCTCCTTCTTTGGAGGTCTTTAAGCAGAGGCTTGACAACCATATGTCAGGAGTGCTCTGATGGTGTTTCCTGCTTGGCAGGGGGTTGGACTCGATGGCCCTTGTGATCTATTCCAACTCTATGATTCTATGAATGGACTATGGCAGGATTATATCTAACCCTCGTGTGGGTTCAGGAGGTGATGGGAGTGAAGGCAAAAGAGGCTAGCCTTGGTCTAATCCTGGGACGGGGAAGCTGTAAATGAAGAATCAGGATGAATGGTTCAGGCACCAGGAAGAGGGGCTGTGGAGTGTAGCCACACTGCTGCTGAAATTCCATGCTCTTGCTGCTCAGATAGACTGCTCTTGCTCGGAAAGCCTTTGGGTGAAAAAACCTGCTAGCTGTTACTGTACAGGGTCTCTCCCCACTTCTCCAAACAATAGCTGGATGTCTTTTTATGGGCTAGACTGCACGCACTTGGCCAATGGAAACATGCCAATCAGTCTGGTCTGCTGCCCTCACTAAGCCTCCGAGCAAGAGAACACTGCATTATTTAGCATTCATTTAATAACTGACAATATATTGTATTGTCTTGGGTGTTCAATATGGCACATCACCATACTGGGTTGCACCTACGGCAGGTGCACCTATTGCTCTAACCAAACGGTTTAGTTAATTAATTAGTTAATTAATTACTGAATTCTACTGTGGGTGTTTACAAGTATGTGAATGTTTGGTTGTGTGGGAGTGCCTACATGTTTGTAAGTGGATTTGTACATTTGCACATCAAATACCAGAAGTGGTCCAGCCCAGGTAAGGCTTAGCTCAGTAACCTACATTTTACTTATTGCATTTATTGCATTTTTATCCCATTTTTCCTCGAAGGACCTCGGGGTTGAGTACTTGGTTCTCTGCTCCTCATTTTACCCCCATACCAACCCTGTGTGGTAGGATAGGCTGAGATACAGCGACTGGCCCCAGATCACCCAGTGACATTCATGGCTGAGTGGGGATTCAAACCCTGGTTTCCCAGGTCACAGCCCAGCACTCTAACCACTACACCATGCCCTTTGCCATGCAATGTTGCCAACTTTCCCCCTGGGCACTGCAGCTGTGTTTGCAAAAGCAGCTTGATGCACAAACATTATCTTCACCCGATTCTTCCCATTGAGCTGTCTTTTCTTTTTCAGGCACAGGAGCGGGCCTGTCGGGATCATTTTCTGATCAGTTGGCAACCTGATTGCCGGGGAACCTTTGCACGAACATTGTGTTGAGTCAGAAACTCCAGCCCTGAGCCCGCCTATTAAGTTGCCTGTAAAATGGAGGTATTGTTCGTTGCCAAGTGAAATTCTTTCCACTGAGCATAGCCATGCACTGTGGGAACAATCACACACAGGAAAGCTTGATCCCAAAATTAACATGTGCAGTCATCACATTACTGGATGCCATAAAAACAAATAAGCTAATGATTTATATATGCTTTCTTCCCAGCCATTGTGGGTATATTTCGGTAAATGACAAGCAGGGCTGAGCAGGCAGCAAGTAGGCAGGGCTCCATGGCTGAGTTTGCTAAAAGTCACAAGGAAACTTCCTCGCCATTGAATAACCATTGTGTACAGCCGGTACACAAGGACTTAGATGTTTACACTAGATTTGAAAACAATCCCTTTACCTGTGTACTCTGGCTTAGACATTCCTCAAACACATTTTTTCAGACCGGCTTCCAGGTCCTTCTGAAAAGCTTCTCAAGTTTTGCCAGTTAAGTTGCACAATCAGATAAGTCCAATGATAGCAGAACTCCCAGAGCCTCTAAACTCAGGCTGCCATTTTTAAAACCACTGTTGCTTTTGGCTATAAGAGTTTGCCTAGTGGTAGAGCAGATGTTGTTAGTGCAGAAGGTCCCAGATTCAATTGCCAGCATCTTTAGTTGGGGGGGGGGGAGACCCCTGTTTGAAACCCTGAAGAGCGATGGCAGGCTAGATGAGCCAATGGTTTTACTCAGTGTAAGGCAGCATCCTACGTTCCTGTGATCCCGATCCAGCCCCTCTGCAGACAACGGTCAACTGCTAAAGTTTCACGAAATGTGTAGAAGAAGTTTGATTGCTCAGAAGTGTGAACACGGCCAACACCCAAGGCCTGGGGACTGGGGCAGCTCGGTGCTTCTGGTAAAAACTGGACCAGCAGAGAAGATTCAAAAAGGCAGCATTTTTGCATGGAGTCCAGGCTAGACAGATGCAGTGGCCTAGTAGCACAAGTGCTCCTCTTGACACGCCCGCTTTGCCACCCCCCCCCCTGAGAAGAGTCAATAGCCAAGTCCCCAGCGAGAGTCCAAAAGTGTAGGCAGCTGTGTCGATCCATTATGATTACATGCATAGACAAACGACACACACACACACACACACACACACACACACACACACCAAAGAGGAGCAGTACATAGCACAATACCCATTTAATAGGATCATCATGACTGCAATCCTATACATGGTTTCCTGGGAGTTGTTAGCTTCTGTCTGTCTTGAGAGGCAATGGAGAGCACTTCCGAGGATGAAGACAAGCCGTGGTATTCGCAGTACCATAGGGACCTCCCTGGGGCACAATCCTGGGCAGTGTGTATGGAGGTCCTGGGCTGTCCGGACAACAAGACCCCTCCACCTTGGCCTTGCTGCGGTGGTCCAAAGCAGAGCAATACGTCTGGCACCAGCTTGGCTGCAGGAGTTGCAGGAAGGAGGCAAACAAGGCACCATCCAATCATCTGAGGGACTCCACTCTGGATTTGTGTAGGGTTTGCTCCTTCGCCTTTTCTTCTCCTGAAGATCTCCTGCAAGGCAGTGGAGGTTTAGGATCAGAGTTCTTCTCCCTGATGGCCTACCTTCCCAGGTGGATGAGTCCCACTTGCTCCTCACAGCATGTGCAGAATCTGCCTTCTTGACAGTTGGACCCACGACTGGTCTCATCTGCTCAGTCTGCCGGAGCCTGTCTTCACATGCTGGGGAATAAGCTCCATTAAATCCAGGGGTGTTTACTACTGACTGCATAGATTCAACTCACAAAACACATTTGAGAAGGGGTGGGGGAATTGTGTCCCTCCAGGTGTTCATGGAATTCCTATCAGACAGGCTGACCAGTGGTCAAGGTTGATGGGGGCTGAGGTCTAGCAACCCCTGGAAGGCCACAGGCTCCCCACCCCAGCATTTAACAAAAGACAGTCTGCCAAATGCAACCTCTAGCTTTCAACTAGAAATGCCTACAAACCAGCAAATAGGTATTACGGCTTAAATTTTCTGCCTTCCTCTATGCCAGGCATGGCCAAACTTGGCCCACCAGCTGTTTTGGGCCTACAGTTCCCATCATCCCTGACCACTGGTCCTGTTAGCTAGGGATGATGGGAGTTGTATTACCAAAACAGCTGGAGGGCCAAGTTTGGCCATGCCTGCTCTATGCTGCTCAGTCACAAACAAACTTCAAAGCCACATTATCACCTCATTCACTTTCCAGGGCAAAGAGGGTCCATCAATGGCCCTGCCACTCCTTCTGATTCTGAAAAACAGTCCTGGAGATGTGCTCTCTTGCATTCACCTTCCTCTACACCTCTGGGAAAGCTAAGGCTAGGACCTGATGCAACTCACAAGACAGAGCAAAGAATTGAGCTCAACTGAAAGCCAGGAGGGATGGAGTAGCGGTTAGAGTGTCAGGCTAGCAGAGAAGATGTGCTCCGGTCCTGCTTGCAGTGGTTGTCCACTGTGAGAACAAGATGTTGGAGTAGATGGACCATTGGCCTGATCCATCAGAGCTCTCTTCTCGGGTTCTTATGACAAGAGTCACATCTGGTTGGTCCGCCTGCTATTACAGCCTCTGGAAAGCTGCCCAAGAGGGAATGTGATCCATGGGCTCAAAAAGCCTCGCACATCCCCATCTCTGCTGTGCCCACAATGCTAGAGCGGGTGCCCTTCAAGCAATGCAAGCACCCATCTAGCAGGAGGAAGGAACTGAGCCGCAAGGAAAGAAACAGTTTTGGTGTGAAGATCTCAACTGTACGTGCCATAGTTCCGATAACCACAACAAAACGCTGCTCTTGGGATTTCATCTCAAGTTGTGCAGATGAGATCAAAGGTATGGAAATATGTTACTGTGGTATGAAATTGCCCAGGAACCGTTGCCAGGCTACCTTGGTGTTACTCTTGGTAGAACGCCAACCTCTCCACAGCACATTAAGCAGGTGAGCAATGCAATCAACTCCTGTGCGAAAGTGATCCAGGGGCTGACAGGTGCAAGGAAAACGGGGAACATCTATGAAGGTGCCTTTCTACTGAGTCAGACCATTGGGCCTCCAGCTCAGTGCTGAAGTGCCGGGGCTTGAACATGGGGGCTTTTACACAAATGTGCTTTTCCTGGTGAGCTAAAGCCTCATTCCTGCGGTGCCTGGGCATTAGTGCTCGTCACCAGCAATTTTATGGCTAGACAACATCAATGCTGATTTGCAGCCATGCCTGTTTTAAGGTCATACTGTGCTGTCCCCTGCACTCCCAAAATTGCCTGTGTGTGGGAGGGGGAGTCAGGAGAGCCCCCAGAACAGCATAGGGGAGGAGGACAGGGCAGATGGTTCCCTCAGGCAAGCACTGATGGAGCAATTTGCTCAGTGCTGTGTTGCAACTTCTCGCAATATTTAGAGCTGGCATAGGCAATGTGGTTCTCAGTGGTTCTCAGGCTCCAACTCCCACCAGCCCCCACCAGCAAGGACAATGGTCAGGGGTGATGAAATTTGTGCTCCAGCAGCATCTGAAGGTACCCCTAATTTGTAGCCTTCTGGATCGATATGAGAGAGAGAAGCTTACCGGCTTTGGGGGGAAATCTAGTACTGCACACCATAGGCTCAAGAATATTTGAATACAAGAATGGGCTCTCTGTCTGATAAGTATAAGGATTCCTCTGAGCGTAGGGTGACCGGGTGCAGGAGAGGGCAGGGCTCTTGCACTTTCGTTGTTGTATGGAAAAGGGGAATGCACCTGCTGATATTCCCTCTTCTGCACAGATATCAGAAGATGCAGGATCCCTGCCCTCTTTTGCAGCTGAGCACTCTGTCTGTGTGCAAGTTAATAAAGTGATTCCTGCATTGCAGGGGGGGGGACTAGATGACCCTACACAACGTTGTAATTCTATGATTCTGTGATTCATGAATTAATGCCATCTCGGTGACCCATAGCCTCTTGCTCCTTCTTCTGTGACAGAATGTGACTATTAATCACATTAAGTCATCAAATGGCAGATGCGGCTATGAAGTTGCACAATGAGCTTGAAGAAACCCTGTTGTGTGAGCGAGGAAAACCCTTGAAGTCCCCTACCTGCCTGCGGACTGTCTGGCCAGAGTGGTGCATGCTCTAGTTATCTCTCACTTGGACTACTGCAATGCGCTCTATGTGGGGCTACATTTGAAGGTGACCCGGAAACTACAACTAATCCAGAATGCGGCAGCTAGACTGGTGACTGGGGGCGGCCGCCGGGACCACATAACACCGGTCTTGAAAGACCTACACTGGCTCCCAGTATGTTTCCGAGCACAATTCAAAGTGTTGGTGCTGACCTTTAAAGCCCTAAACGGCCTCGGCCCAGTATACCTGAAGGAGCGTCTCCACCCCCATCGTTCTGCCTGGACACTTGAGGTCCAGCTCCAAGGGCCTTCTGGCGGTTCCCTCACTTTGAGAAGCAAAGCTACAGGGAACCAGGCAGAGGGCCTTCTCAGTAGTGGCACCCGCCCTGTGGAACCCCCTCCCTTCAGATGTCAAAGAGATAAACAACTACGTATCTGACATTTAGAAGGCAGCCCTGTTTAGGGGAGCTTTTAATGTTTAACAGACTATTGTATTTTAATATTTTGTTGGAAGCTGCCCATAGTGGCTGGGGAAACCCAGCCAGATGGTCAGGGTATAAATAATAAATTATTATTATTATTATTATTATTATTATTATTATTAAGTCAACCACAGCAGAGCAGCAGCTCAACAGAGGCCTTCCTGACCCTGTGTAATACGGTGTGCATGACTGTCCTATCTGAAGCTGTGGAAGTTTCCGCTCACAGCATATAGGGTTGCCAACTTTTTTAAAGATTGTCCCTCCCCATTCCTGTGCCTCTTCCAACTAGGTGTGCAGTCATTTGTACAGGGTCTACTGACCTCCTCAGACTTGTGGGCACCCCCCCTGGATCAATACTCTCCTCCTGCCCCCCCCAAAAGACAGAAAGCATGTCACACAAATTTTGCTTCTCTGTTTGATACAGTTGGAACCAGATGTATGCTTAATTTGAGTCTTATCAAGCATCTAGAGCTGGAAAAGGAAGTGGGAGAGAGCATCACTCTTTCAACTTCCCTCTTTGGCTCGATGTACATTTCAAGAGAAAGAAAGGACACCATCCTTACCACCTGATGACCAAAGGGAGGTGGTGCTGGTGAGCTCAGAAACTTAGTGAGTGAAGAGGGAAAGCTCTCAAGGGCACCTTTGCACCCACTGGGAACACATTAGCAGCTAGTAATGTTAAAAGACGCCTGCTTCTTGGGAGAAAAGCAATG